GTGGCCAGTGAAGATATCACTAGGCTGTAATGTAAACACTGCATTTTCTCTGAAAAGACCGTGTTTGCAGCAAAAAGCCTGAAGGTAATGATTCTACTCACCAGAAAAAAAATTCAATATGCTGTAGTTGTTCTGGTGACTATAGTGTCCCTTTAAGAGACACACCAAATACCATGAGAATACAAAAAAGGAACAGTACTATTCTCTTAAAGAGATCAACTCAACATTTATTGGGTCTAACACAGATGAAAGCAAACGTTTTACCTTAAATTAAAAATAAATTTAGAGTGTTCAAAACGTTTTAAGAGAAGTACTGGTCTTGTTTGTATTCTATTGGGATTTGGGGAGAACAGGTCATTTGCACTCAAAGATATGGAAGTTTTTGCAAATTGTGAGTGCTGGCTGCTTATTGTTTATGTGACTCCAAATACCAAAACTACTACAGTTTACTTTTCTGGTTGCAATACTATACACAAGATCCAGCGCACTCACTTATCCACTAAACAGGAACTTCAAAGCTCACACATTTTAATAGTTTATTTAAAAACCATCAAACATGACATAATCCTGCCCCAACGTCAGTGTACCCCATTTTTGTCAGGTCCTACTCTAACAACTTAAAGGGACACTATAGTCACCAGAACAACCACAGCTTAATGTAGTTGTTCTGATGGGTATAATCAATGTAGGCAGGCATTTTCATTCAAAAAAAAAAAAAGGCAGTGTTTACATTGCCCCTAGGGACACCTCCAAGTGGCCACTCCTCAGATGGCCACTGGAGGTGCTTCCTAGCTCAGTGCTGCACAGTAGGCAGCTCTGCTGTTCAGCTGAATTTTCCTCATAGAGATGCATTGATTAGACAAAATAAGAAAGTTTGGTAATAAATATAAATAAAGATACTGCATAAGTAAAACAGCACACAAAGAGGGAGTGGATATGGGTGTTCTCTTTAGCAGCCTACACAGATACAAAATATTGCTGTATCCAAGATTATTTCCTGTATCATTAAACATATCAACAGTACACCAGCAACAGAAATGCATAAATATACACAAATAATAATAAATATATATATATATATATATATATATATATATATATATACATACACACACACACATATACATACACACACACACACACACACACGATAGCAGGTGCTTCCTAGGGCAGCACTGACTCAGCATCTCTACGCTTTGCATGGAGACGCTGAACATTCTCCAAAGAGATGCTAAATAGTTTAACACTATAGGGGTAAGAATACACATTTGCGTTCCTTTAAGCTGCAGCTATTCTGGTGACAATAGTCACCAAATCAACTTTAGCTTAAAGGACCACTATAGTGCCCTGAGGGTGCCCCCACCCTCATGGCCCCCCCTCCCGCCGGGCTGAAGGGGGAGGAAGGGGTTAAAATCTTACCTTTCTCCAGCACCGGGCTCCCTCGGCGCTGGGGACTCTCCTCCTCCTCCTCCTCCCCCCTCAATGCTTTCCTACAGACACTGGCACCTTCACACTGTGAAAAAAAAAAAAAAAATCACAGTGAGAAGCGCCTCTAGCGGCTGTCAGTGAGATCCACCAGAGGATGGATTAACCCATATGTAAACATAGCAGTTTCTCTGAAACTGCCATGTTTACAGCAGGCAGGGTTAACCCTAGATGGACCTGGCACCCAGACCACTTCATTAAGCTGAAGTGGTCTGGGTGCCTATAGTAGTCCTTTAATAAGGCTGCTTTGGTGTATATATTAGGCCCTTGCAATCTCACTGCTCAATTTGCTACCAGTTAGGAGTTAATCACTTGTGTCCTCACAAGGGCCACTCTCCAGATCCGCAAAAGTTATAAGCCTGTCACGACCCAGCTGAGAAACGCAGGACTGGCTTACCACTGGGGAGCGAACGGCTCCTTAGTAGTGACTCAAAACGGTACTACACATACGCTACCGAATCTGGGAGCTGCGCACACTTTTTTGAGCACCCTGGGTATTGAGCACACGACTGCACCTTCAACTCCCGAACACCAGGCGACCTCATGGGACCCCGCTTCCATTCCACCATTCATCCCGAGAGAGAGGAACCCACGGCCAGAAACACCGTGACTGCAGGGTGCAATCCCCCAAGGACCACCTTTTCAACCCAACTTTATTTCAGTTTGTGTGCATAGTAGATTTACTTGTTTAGAGTGTATTGTACCCTTTCAACCAAAGGTAGCTACACCACACAGCGCCCACGCGGGCCTGAGCTCGGCACAGGCAGGGGCAGATTAGGCTGACAAGCATATACACTAACACCAAACGGCGTACTTTTCCAACGCACCCCTCCACGGGTCAGGGGCCCACAGCGTGGTGGCATATCCGTTTACCGCAACACTACACTATCAAGAGCGCACATGCTCACGGTACTCGCGGTCAGCTACCACCTTTACAACTTGTAACCAGCATGACACGTTATATGTTTTATTTTATATTTTCTATATGGCAAAATGCCTGTAACCCGCACATCCGAACCTAAACACACACACCACCTCAGGGCATAGGTCATAAACAATGCACACAGGGACCGCAATTAGAGCAAACATAAACAGAAACTCATTAATGAGAGAACTCTACCTAGCAGTCCCTGAACAGAGTCTAAGCATGTACTAAAAATAAAAAATTGGATGCTGTTTCTCAAAGTAATACTAAACTCAATATTGTACATGTAATTGAACCATGCTTTTCCAGTATTCTTGTATCCAATCATACGAAGTATACTGATTATCTATTGAAATGTTGTTAAAACGAAGCATCTTGAAAAATAAAGAATTAAAAAAAAAAAAAAAAAATCACGTGTCTGTTTATGCAGCCCTAGCCATAAATCCCCTGACTACGGGTCTCACAGCCTGCATGGAAATTTTTTAATTTTTTTTTTACATTTTTTTAATCAGATGCTAACTTACTTTACACGTTTTTATCTCCTGCTCTGTAAATTGGCTATAGGCCAATGCATGGTCTAGAAGACTATTAGCAAAGCAGAAGATAAATTCTAAATTAAAAAAAGAGACACTCCAGGCTCCAAAACATTATCTAAATTAAGTTGTGGTGCAAGGAGGCCCTCTTACCTCAAGGGATTAAACCAGGGAAGCGTCCCTGGGCAGGGGTGTCTCTGATTGGCTGAGAGCGGTCAGCTGACGCTCTTAGCCAATCAGTAACTCTACATTTACTAAACTGGCTTGGACAAGGCTAGGAGCCATTTTTTTTTGTTTTTTTTAAACAAAGCTTTATTTTCAATGACAAAAATACAACTCTTAAAGGAGCACTATAGTCACCAGAACAACTACAGCTTAATGTAGTGGTTCTGGTGTCTATAGCTTGTCCCTGCAGGCTTTTCAATGTTAACACTGCTTTTTCAGAGAGCCACTAGAGGTGCTCCCTAATCCAGTGCTGCACAGATTCAATGCATTTCTATGAGGAGATGCTGACTGGTGCAGTGAGGCGTTCCGCAGTGCTTTTTCTAATGGAAAAGCATTGCATTGACTGAGATCATCAAGACTGAAGTCTTACCCTTCAAGATCAAACCGTTTCACCCTGAAAAACATCAGCTGACATGCTTAGACTAGACTGGCCGCCAAGACATACTTTCCTGACCATCGCGGCGACTGGAGGAGGCAGAAGACAATGCCAAGGGGACAACTTCAGGGTGAAGCCATAATTTTTTTTTAATGGTTTGATCCTGTAAGGTAAGAAGGCATCCAGTGACTACAGTCCCCCTAAAGACTTTATTAAAAATACGTTGTTACCAAGGCTGGAGTCACTCCAGAGTGTTCCCTTAACAGGTCTTACGATGCACCAGTGGAGACTGCTACAGTTTGAGAATTCCAGTAGGAAAGGTTGACTTCATATAAGTGAGTCAGTATCATATATAAAGTCTTTAGGGGGGCTGTAGTCACTGGATGCCTTCTTACCTTATAGGATCAAACCATTAAAAAACAAAAATTATGGCTTCACCCTGAAGTTGTCCCCCTGGCATTGTCTTCTGCCTCCTCCAGTCGCCGCAATGGTCAGGAAAGTATGTCTTGGCGGACAGTCTAGTCTAAGCATGTCAGCTGATATTGTTCAGGGTGAAACGGTTTGATCTTGAAGGGTAAGACTTCAGTCTTTAAAGGAACATTATCAGGTTCCAGACCCTTCTCTACCTGCGTGATGTAATTTAAGTTACCTTGTTTGGAAGCAAGGCTAGCTGCCTTGTAAGATGGACGCATCAGCTAGAGCTTCGCTATACGGGAACTAGCGTTCAACTATTATACATGGCAAAACTCTCCAAGTAAGATTATATATGCAAAATGTCTGAAAGCAAAATCAAAGAGGAAGCACAATAAAAAGTCAACCAACCTAATTTTTCTGTGCCAGAAAGGCCTCTCTACGAAGCACAGAGGGATACACAAGATGAGCCTGGGGGAAATCAGCCGTATGCCAGATATAAAAAGCTCGATGGAGGGAGAACATCTCACTAAAAAGTTAGTAAAAGCATCATTAGATGACTTAAGGGCAAAGCAAATATCCACCTGGAACAACAGTTTTGAGAATCTAGGCAAAGTAACCCTTACTAAGGAGCACAAACTTACCCAAAACAGGGTAACTTAAATGGCAGCATGCAGATGGAGAACGGCCAGAGTGTTCCTTTAAAATTAAAAATGTAGATTCTGTTTGAGACAAAAAAGGATGTTTTATCAATGCAGTCAGTATGAGGATGAAATGGATTCTTAGATATACATTATATGATGTAGCAAAATTAGAAGGCCTAAAGTTTGAAATTCACTTTGACTTTCAACCATTCAAACTTTAGTGTATAACTGTTACAGTTATTGTGATATTGCCATCTGCTGACCAGAAAAGAACAAAAAAAATAAAAAAAAAACCCAACAACCTTTAAAAGTAAGTAAAACCAGTCAAAGATGTACCGGTAATTCTTTTACAAAACATACAATACATCTTAATATTTCAGAAAATGAAAGACAAAACATGTGTAAAAATGACAAAATTATTTTATTATAGTGTATAAGAATCACTCACTGTAACCCACCCTCCCAACAGTAAGTCTGCACATTTGAAATTAATCACTTTTGCCTCACTCTCTGGGCTCCCAAACACTCCACACACACCAAATTGCAAGATTTCATAAAAGGGAGCTACATCCAGCAGGTAGAAGCCATACAAACATCAAAAAGAATGAAGTAACTGAGGTAACCTTTTTACTCCTACAGATCACACTGCAAAATTCTGGTGGGAACATCTGGAAGACACAGGCTTTAAACCGCACCCAGCACGTGTTTTAAAGGCCCATTAATGCCACTTTAGTGCCAGATCACACTGCAAAACATTTTTTTCCTTCCAAACTCTTAAAAGATAAAGTCGGTAAACAATAAGAAAGAAAAAACATTTGACGTATTTGCTCAATTGTATCAATGAAAAATTTAAATCCTTGTTTCAGCAGGTCTAAATATTAATACATGTGACTGTCATAAATGAAAATATTAATATTCACCTTATGATATTCAAACGTACAATTAGAGAAAAGCCAACAAGAACAGCTGCTGTTACCTGCTAAAAATTAAAGGAACACTGGGCATTAAAACAGAAATTAGGTCATATACATTCAAATATCCCATTTTTCTTTCAGTTTTTATACTTTAATTGATGTAACATACTACTGTGAGGCTTTTTTTTTCTGGACAATGGATCTCACATGATGAAATTATGCAAGTGAAATGTAAATTGGACACATAAAATGAGGTTGGTCTCTATGACCAACACAGTTAGATAGAACCAAATAGGTATAGAACTATATAAAATATACGGGGAGGTTTCAGTAGAGAGATGGTTGCAACACAATTTTAATAAGCTTGACACTGCCAGAGAGAATGACATTCAGTGGGTGCCCAGATATGCAAAACTGGGGAATCCACAGCTGGGGATTTGTTCACTAATATTGTACCCTGTGCACTGGCACAAAAAATAGTTGCTGCAAAGAAAGCCTACCCAAAAAAAAAGTGGTTTGCAATTATGAATGTTGTTGCAAGGAATTCTGCTAGGGTCCTGGAAATGCAATCTATAACTGCTGCTATGTCTGGGACAGCTTGTTTCATGAAATGTGACAACCTTTTCCGTGCCAAAGTTTGTAATGTGCTGTCATATCTCAGTGAATGGGTTAATATGAGAAGATGCTGCACAACAGTATGTTGGAAAATGGATATATTTAAACTTAAATAAAATCATACAGAATTGCTGGAAATAAAATGGATTAGTGAAGCCATAAGCCAAAGGTTTCAAAAACCATCGGTAAGAAATGTCTGAACAAACACTACTCAGAGCCACCATACCGTAAACAGTCTATGAATAAAAAACACTACACATTTTCCCATGGGACTTTCCCCTAAACTAGGAAGTAGGAGTGATCTTACCCAAAATTATGAAGAACAATTATTTGAGATAGATGTTAAATAGAACATAAGTTATTACTTGTCAAGTTTCCATAGAAATCACGGATTCTTACAAAATATACTGACTGTGCATACTTCAATATACACAATTGTTTAAAAAAAAAAAAAAAAACACACTTAGCCAGGGACTCTGACCTACCTTCTATTTTAAATTAATGCACAATTCTTTATAATTTATAGGCAAAATGGCCTCTGCATTATACTCACTCACACTTTAGACATAGAAAGGATATTTAAACGTATATGACCAAATTTGTTTTATTAAAAAAAAAAAAAACATTAGTGTCACGATTGCTTGCTAAAGTAAACTTTTACATGTACAACCACATTTAAAAAAAAAAAAAATTAAAAAAATGCAGTGCCCAACTTTACACTAAAGAATGTAGGCCAGTCTGTTTTTGCCTATTAATCCCACTGAACATAACGGAACAGACAAAAATTTAAACTCACACATAAGAGGACTACAAACCTTATTTGTGTGTTTTCAAACAAGTACTCATCTAAAATAAATGTTGAATCTTTTAAGCTACCATCATGTGTTCTTGACAAAAAAAATTTGCGTTGCAACATTAACCTTGTTCAGACAAGGATTTTTTTTTCCTTCTAATCAAATTTTTAAATCGCAATAAAACAAGAAGTTTTACTTCCAAATAAATTAGATCTATACCAATGAATATATATATTTGGAGTGGTTGCTTTTATCGTATACCTATGGGATTGTTGAAACGCATCCCATGGATTCAATTAAACTAGTTTTAATATTTTTATCAAAATTTTGAAAAAAAAATAAATCTCCTCTCACCAACAGCAATTACAGGCGCAATTATACTTTCAATTTAAAACAGATTCACACCAATCCTCTTGATTTCTGCCTACACACTCTGGCATTATGACAAGTGTACACCTCCAGTTCTTTGGGAGCCCAATTTCAAGCTCACCTCAAGCTCTAAAAGGAGTAACTTGAAATCAACATTCTTTGGTAAAGTGAAGGGGGCAACCCTGTTTAGGGTGATTTCACAGAATTTGAGTTTACTGGCGGTAGAGTTCTAGGAGATGACCTCTCTCTCAGTGCCTGAGACAGCAAATTGCACCCATCGGAGACGGCACAAGCAGAGCTTCTCAATCTGTCCTTGTAGTCTGTCATTTTGCTACTGCTATCAGAGTGTTGGGTTATATCCCTGAGACATTGGGTCAGGAGCACACAGGCAGACACCACACTCATAGCACCCCCTAGAATGGCAGTCTGTACTGCTTTGCCCTCTGAATTCAGGATGGCGGCTTTACCCAGAAACTGAGGCTCTGTGGCAAACCCTACTAAAGCATGGACAGCCTGTACCAAGGGTCCACTGAAAAGGGCACAGCGATTCCTAGAGAGCTCACTAGGAGATGTCTTCACTTCCTTCACACAGGCCAAAAGAGCGGTGGCACTGGTACTCATGCACTTGACTCCCAACTTAAATTGCTCTCTGGCAAACTTGTCCCTCGATCTTTCGCTGGCGGAGACGCTGGAATCCGTGAGAATCTTCAGGTTCTTCGACAAGTTCTGGGAGACTTCTAGCAGCAACTGCGGAGTCAGTTCCGACAAAGGTACCGTCCTGAGGGTGGCACAGCTCTGCTCCACCTCGTGCCTACACCGGGTCACCTTGTAGCGGTCCACCAAGCCGGGCAGCGCCGCCTGCGATCCTGGCACCTCCACAGCGGCCAAGTACGCGGCATGGGCGGACAGTTCGATCAACGACACCACCAGGTCGCCCATCTCCCTCAGGCTCTCGCCAACCTCTGCAAACTTGCCCATGTTGAGCTGGCTCTGGACATCATGGGTGAGGATGGAGAGGCCCTTGGTTCGGGCAATCACTGTGTCTCTGCATTTCTCAAAAGCCTCACCCAGATGCAGGTTGTTCTCCGGGTTGACAGGCCGGGGCTCGCTGGACAGCAGGAGGAGGTCGGCCACCAGCTGCATCTTGGCCTTGCACTGCTCGCAGACAGTCAGCAGCTTCCTGCGGGGTTGGGAGCCGCCCGGGGCCACTCCGGAGGGCAGGGAAGACCGGGCGGAACCAGAGCCGCCGCCGCTAGCCATCTCGGCCGGTGCAGCCTCTCATACCTCGGCCAGTGGGAGCGGTATCCCGGGGACCCCCCCGCCGCATCATCCCAGGGAGGGCTACCGGGGCACTGCCCTGAAACCCCGGCTTCACCTCTCACACCTCTCCGAGGGTCACTGCTCTCATGGCGGCGGGCAACGAGCTCTCTGCTCTAATTAGTATTCATTTATTCTAATCCGGCAGCAAAAAAATAAATAAATAATTAAAAAAAAAAAAAGTGACCCGCCCGAACCCAGGCTCAACCTCTCCCGGCCCGGATAAGGAACGTGGGACGGCGCCGCCCTGTGACGTCACCCACCAGAGTAGCAGCGATACCGAAAGGAGAGCGGGGATGTAGGGAGAGTGAGAGAGCGACATCTAGAGGCCAAGAGGTGTCATGTCATGCAGGCCACATGTGGACATGCACTGCACAGAGACATGTCGAGAGTTACTGATGGGGAGTGTGACTTGGACCTGCAGTTATCATTCATTCTAAACTCTCAATTGTATAGAATTAGAAACGGTGGCAAAACTTGGCCAAAAATAGCCAAGCTATAACTATAGTCCAGTTGATGAATTCTTCCATATTGGGTATTTTTTTTTTTTTTTTTTTAAACTCAATATTACCATTCATTTTTGAATTTGCTGCAATTTTGGAGTTTAGTGAATAAACCCGCAGGCTTAGAGGCTTCCCACTTGTATTGATTTTGGTGGGACAGTCCTGATTTTAGGGTCCTGTTCTGCATTCCCAGGTTTGTTTCCTAGTGTTGCGCTTTTAAAGACACCAGGGAACTGTCCTAAAAAATCATAGTGAGCACGTCATTAGATGCGCATGCACTATAATCAGGGAATCAGGGCCCCGCAGAAGGCACTGAAACCTGCTTAATTGGCATGCAACCTGGCATGCATTTATACCAGGCTGTAATTCACAAGGTCTGCCCCCTTTCTGGACTGGTCAGCACCAGTCACATGATTCATGATGTTGAAATTTGAAAAATAGAATAATTTGACAAAAAAGTTGCCTAGACTTGGGATTCCAACCATTGGTCCTGTCAAATCTTTACAGACTTTTGAGTTGGAGTGTGACATCAAATATCCCTGCAACCACCATCTCTATGACCTGCACATCATTATGGAGCATTCACATTGATCTATGCAGATGCAAGCATAGTCAGTTTCCTATGACTCCACTACCACCATTAGCATTTGACGTGTGTTATGAATATACTCACCCTCTGGTCATATGTAAACACCTCCAAAGGACATCATATTCATCATAGTCTGAGAACCTGATCAATCCCATATTCTGCACTCCAGGAGAATATACCATTTGGCCAGTCCAGGTCTAAGGTTGTGGGATGTCAACCCAGGTTCAAACCCACACTGTGCTAGGCTAGCAAAGCCCTGCAGTACTGTACCAGGAGACATCCTATTGCACCTTCCGCTGCTATTATTCCACAGCTGCATGTAACAATCTGAATATGCTGGTGGCCCACAAGGCAATTACCCTCTGCACCCCTTGCAAGCCCTCTCATATCAGCAGTATTATTCATTAAGCCATGAACTGTTAGGGACTCATAACAAGTGAATTGTAGGCCAAAACAAACAAACTGTAAAAATTCTCCATCTCATCTATTTTTCACACGTTTTAGCCTACACGATCCAAATCCCTTGTCATTTACCAGATATTTACAGGTTATTAAAAAAGACTGCTTATGTGTCTGCACTTCACTCATAATCCTCTTTGAATACAGAAAGCTTTATTTTTTTTGTAGTAATCACAGGGGTTATCAGCTGAGATACAAGTATCATACTTGCTAACACTGGGAGATATGAGATCAGAACAGATGGACAGGTCTCAGAGGCATTGCCAGCGAAGTGACTCGCATAACTGTTGACGCCCCAGAAAAGAGGCAGGTCTGCCCAGAAAGTTTACAAGCCCACCTGTTATAGGCCTGAAGGGGCCTGTCTGGCCAGACCCCAACCTGCAGGACCTTGTAAAGAGAGCTGCTGAAGGGCTTTCTGCAGGGCCCTAGTTCCAATGCACAGCACTAGTGCATCTAATGAGGCACTTTCACTGTGCTGCCCAAGGACAGTAGGACACCAAGAAACTAAATAAGCACAGCGGGACAGGACCCTAAAATCTGGACTGTCCCAAAAAAGAAGGATTCATGAAGGTAAAAGGTAGACATGTCAGGAGAAAGATATTAATTGGCTAGTCTGTATGCAAAAATTGCCTTCTAAGCAATTCTCATATAGTAATTAACTGGAAAATTAATTGTACTGGTATATGACGTGGTACAACCATAAAGAAGTCTCAATAATGCGAGTTGCCAGTGCACTTACAAACAGAAAATGTGTAAATCATTTTCAGAATACAGAAAGAACCAGGATGAGACATATTTGTGTATCAGTGAGTTATGTAAATTCTAGCATTTTTATGGAGTGTCTTCAGCACAGGGTTTTTTGTAAAAGCAATGTGCAAGACAAACCAGGGAAGGAACTGAATAATCTTGGTCTATATTAGAAACAGCACACAGGTTCTTTCCGACATAGATACAACAAACTGTAGTCACTAAATTAGTAGCATCTCTGATCCAGAATCCTGAATGTCACTCTGTATTTTATATAACAGGGAATCAGGAGAAATAAACTCTAATGTGGGGTCCAGAAAATAATGAATAATTTGGTGTGACGGCGTGACACAAAATCAGCAGGTAACAAAAACAAACAATAAACTAAAGTATGTAGTTCAATACACAGGAAAACCATTGGTATCAGCTGATTTCTGATAGATACAGAGAGGTCCTATAGAACGTTCAAAGCAGAGAATGTGACAAGTGTGAATTTTCAGTAGGCTTTGGGGCAAGTAAGAGAACACATAGCCAACACATATATCAGCCCCTGAGTTCATATCTCCTTGCCACCATATATCTTTTTCTTCTTAATTTTTTATAATTTGGGACAGTAAGCACATTCATTAGTAATCCAAAAAGGTAGGATTAGTGAGTAAGAACCTACAAACAGTCCTCCTGCAATTCATCAGCAGCTGATCAAGTACTGTTTGTGCTTTTCAGACTTCTTGGATGATCTAAAGTTTAAATGGATTGCCGGATCTCCTCCATTGTGAAGAATGAACGCCTCAATGCATATGAACGTATAAACAACCTTTACATATACTGGAACACACCGCCATATGTTCACTTGGAATAAAGGTTATTTATCCTTACCTATGGATTGAGACGTCCTTTCTTCATGACGGAGGAGATCCAGGGCTCCATTTAAGTTTAGTGTCTCTCAGCAGTTGCGGAGTTGCCTCTACTAGGATTCAGATACACATTGCCTGCTTTTTAAAGAGTGTAATAAATAATATATAGTCTTTATTATAAACATTTTTTGAGCCAACAGTATGCAATACACAGTTTATTACATATGTTTCAGTAGATTTCTTTGTTTTGTTTACACAGAATATAGCAGGTGATGATCACAAATGAAATGTCCTTAAATTCCCACCCTCCCCCCGAGCTTTCTCTTATAGGATAAGGATTGCATTTAATTATTTATATTTATAAAGTGCCAACAAATTCCACAGCGCTGCACAATAGGTGGACTGACAAACAAGTATTTGTAACAAGACAAGTTGGATGCACAGGAACAGAGGGTGTTGACTTCCCTGCTCAATGAGCTTACATTCTAGATGGAGTGGGGTAAAGTCGCACAAGAGGTAATGGTAGGATTTATTTCATGTACAGGAAAATGTAGGTTACTAGGACTATAAAGACTTCATTTTTTGGATGACACAGTTGCAGGAGAGGAAGCAAGGTGGGTTATTAAGGTGTGGGAAGGGAAAGCTATTAACAGTTTAATTGATATGCTTTCCTAAAATCATATGTAGAAGATGGTCTGCCCTCTATAAAACCCAGTAGATACCAATTAACATTCGCAAATCTAAAATAAAATTTTAAACTGCAAATTTATGTGTGTGGAAAACAGTTTTTGTGTTTTTCATGTATTACGTGTGTTTTTTTTTTTTTGGTTATAACGTAATACACCATGTAGCTGCTATAATCTGATTTCACTAACAAGCCGCTATGAACTTGAAAAAGAAACCATTTGAGTTGCATATGTGGAAAAAGGAAATATTGTATCAGCAACAGCTTTGATCCCGTGGCCAGATGGCACAAATCAGGGCAGGGTCAAATCTACGTGTAATTGTATGTATGAAAGGCCTTATCTTAGCTCTCCATGTGTATTGCATAAATACTACAAATAAGAACCAGGGAAAGTCTACAAGATAAGCATACTCCAGAACAACATACAGCTTCCCCTCCTGTTCCTGACTTGTATGGATGGATTAACCCTCATTTGTCTAGGAATATTTCTATATTCTTACACTATAAGAAAATAGAATAACTTTAAAAAATATTACTTTCATAATGTTTGGCACCATATTAGAGATGCTGTAAAGATATTCATTGTAAACATACGTCCTGGCTGACTAGAGGGAGATTGGGCTTATACTTGCAGGTGCGCTCACAGACAGCCTTCAGGTGAAGAATCTAATTCTGACAAAAGACATAAATATTGCACAGAATTAACATTAGTCAGCCCAGACTAAGTCACGTGTGCAGGGGGTGTAATTACACCGCTGCAGAAAATTATTATTTGGGGATATATATAGCACTAATTTATTCTGCAGCGCTTAAGCAGTGGTTATGGTGGTTGGAGTAACCCTTTAATCCTACATTTAACTCCTCTTAAATATTAAACACCCCATGAAATTTAGCCTAACTCTAATCCAAAACTGACTAACTGTAAATACCTCTAATGCCACAACTATAATCCCTTTAAGTTTTTAATCCTGTTAACACTAAAAACCCTATGTAAACTAACTTGGCTGATGTCGTCATCATCATGTTTAATTAGAAAAACATTGAGAGGTTAGTGAGCATGTGCAGAACAATGTGCAGAGAATGCTGTGCTGCTCCAATTAAATTGTCTCTATGAGACCATGTCATTGAGTAGCAAAGTTTAAAGGGACACTATAGTCACCAGAACCACTACAACTTAATGTTTAGAAAAAAGACTACATGCTACCTAGTAACACCTCTAGGTGCAGTCACTCAGATCGTCACTAGAGCTGCTTCCATTTTCAGTGCTACATTGTCTTCAGCACCTACATTCAGCGTCTCCAAGCTCTGCATGGAGACATTGAATGCTCCCTAAAGAAATGCGTTCATTCAATGCATCTCTATGAGGCGTTGCTGATTGGCGCAGTGCTTTGTCATGCATGAGCAATGGCCTCCCAATGCTTTTTTGTCAGAGCCTTGGATTGACTGAGATCATCAAGATTGATGCTCTTGGCCCTGGAGGCAGGGCCAGCCGAGTCGAGACTAGTGCGGCGTTGGTGAAAAGGTAAGAAACATATATTTTAACTCCATTCTGACGGGGACCAGTCATCTAAACAGGTACTCAAGCACTAAAGTGTTAGGAATACATGTTTCTATAGTGTTCCTTTAATTTGGCTATTAGTGAGGAAGCACCTCTAATGACTGTCAGAAACCCTGCAATGTAAACACTGCTTTATCTACCAAATGCCAGTTGGAGTGTTAAAGAGACAGGGGAATAGCACTCAGACCACTTCATTGACATGCAGGGCTGCCATCAGAAATGTTGGGACCCCTTACACAGCTCAAGGCCTGGGCCCAAAGGCCTCACTCCAGACTTGCCCACCCCTGAGTCCACCAACAGGGCCCTTCCCCACGTCTGCCCCTAAGGATAAGTAAAGTGGATGCAGTGTGTTTTTGTGTATATAGTGGATGCAGTGTATAGTGGATAGAGTGTGTTTGTAGTGTGTGTGTGTAGTGGATGGAGTGTGTGCATGTAGTGGATGCAAGGTGTGTACATTGGATGTGATGTGTTTAGAGGATGTGGTGTGTGTGTTTATATAGTGGAAGCAGTGTGTGTAGTGCATGCAGTGTGTGTGTATACATTCCTATGGTAGGATAAGAGCTTCTGTAGACATTTTCTTTTTTTTAAATAATACATATATATTTTTTATTGTATTCTCCCCTCCCTGCTTCTTACCTGTGGCTAGCCTGTATTCATTTAGACAGTTACATGCACTCACTATATACGCACATTCACAGATGCAAACACAATACATTGCGAGTAGAAATATATATATATATATATATATATATATATATATATATATATATTTATACACACACACTTGTGCCTAGTTATGCCTAGTGTCCTATTACAAAATTAATGAAACTAACTTTATCTGCTGTTTATTTGGGGGGAAGGGGTGACTTGGCAGGGGACACCTTAGAACTCTGTGCCCAATAGGCACCTGATATAAATCTGCCAGGATTGCCTCTCTAAACATGATCCCATGAATGGATATAAAAATGTAATGGTCTCCCAATTGTGATTCATGTTCTGCTCTTAAAAGAAACTCACATTGATTTCCCCTTTCCTTTCACTATATCTTAAAATAAAACATAGTAATTACTGTTAGACAGAAACTTCAGCTAATAGCTCCTCCCCCTCCAACATCCTTATAACAGCTCCAAGCAGTGCTTCCAGTACAGCTCCTATCATTATATCCTCCCAGCTCCCCGGCGTTCTATTCTAAACACTTGTTTTCACAATATCTCTGTTGCAATGTATCATGCTGGTCACATCCTGTTACCATGGAGACAATAGAGTTTACCGCCAATGACAAACATGGCGTCTAACAGCACAACAGGTTCCACCAATCGGATCAGCAAACAGGCGTCGTTCTGCTATTGGTGGATTGCGCAGAATGACGTAGCCAATCAAACAGAGAATTCATTCAGTATCCGGTGTGGTTGCTGCTGGGAGTTTGTGCGAGTGGTGTGCTGCTGGTGGAGTAAGATGGCCGCCTTCAGGCTGTTTGGTGTGTGCCTGTGCTTCCTGCTGCTCGTCAGCCTGGCTGGCTCTGTGGATGAGAAGAAGAAAAAGAAGAAGAAGGATATTCGGGATTACAATGATGCTGACATGGCACGGCTGCTGGATCAGTGGGAGGTGAGAGCTCCAACTAGCAGAGGCTTTAACTAATGTTTAGGTGGAGAACAAATAATGACTTATTTAACCCCTTAAGGACTAAACTTCTGGAATAAAAGGGAATCATGACATGTCACACATGGCATGTGTCCTTAAGGGGTTAAAAAAGAAAAGGGTCTTAAAATAGGGACATGTTTCCATATAATCCTGCCATGCTGTCACTTTAATTATTCAGCTCATGTAAATGGTTGTTGCTGTGACTGTTGCATTGAGTGGGTCTCTGTGTGACATCTAATGATCCATCCATCCATCAATACATTGTGAAAGGTAAGATATCAGTTTGATATATACAAACCTATTGTTCATTGCTAGTCCACGTTCACTTTAGTTTTTCTTTTTTAGACTTGGCTGCTTTGTATTCAGCCAGGAAGAGTGGGATTGGATTCCTGCAGTTTGAAGTCATTGCCCATAAGTGTGTAATTCAGCATTTCTCTGGTGCTGATTCATTAGACTAGGAATGGTGCAAAGTTATTGAGGGGGACTGCAATTGTTATGCTCAATTAGCAGAGCAGGGAAAACGCTACCCATCTCCGCTATTCTTTAACTGTTTCAGAGACAGTATTAGTCAGTCATCCTCGTTTACTGGTTAAAAGGTTACTGCAAGCTTCCTAATGAGAGGAAACACTTGTGCTGTTACCCAGTAGGGGTACAAACTATTTTGCAACAGTTTGCCCCTTTCCTGGGTCCCTATGGGCACCGAAACACAATGAATGGTGGCCGAATGACATCCAACTTCTGCAGAAGCCACATATTCATTCATTCATTCATTCATTCACTGTCAGGGTCACTTTCTAAGCTAACAAATGATCACCTGCGCATAAAGTATACACAGAATTAGGAAACCTGACTTCTTGTTCTGGGTTAACTTATAAAAGCTGCTCAAGGTGGAATTACACCTCTGCTAGCAGCATTAAATAACTCTGCATGTGTACTGTTTCACAGAGCACTGAAGTGGTTGGAGTAACTATTGAAGAGAATAGAAAACTTCAGAGTCTTTAGTGTTCTCCTATAACAGGGAATTGGGAAATACCTAAATCCTGGACTATTGATGTTCTTTGATGACCCAGCTGGAAATCACTACTCTCTACACCGTTATTTACGAAAGAGTGAATTCTCGAGAATTTCACATTTTAAGCCAAAATTGCCGTTACTATTTTTTTGTTTGACTACAATTTGAAATTGTACAGCGTTACGGAATCTGTTGGCGCTACATAATTGGCAATAACAATTCCTGACAATTAACACTTTAGTAAATAACCCTTTGTAGTGTGATGTTATGGAATTACCATAACCGGTACTTACACAGTTTGTAGGATTTTAGTGTCAGCCTGCAGATCAATGTCAAACTGTTTTTATAATTGTTTGACACTTGCCTAAATCTCCCTGATGCCCAAAGTCCATCTGATGGTCTCAGATTTCGTTAAAACGGATATTCTCATTCCCCACTAGAAAAGTAAATTTTTTCCAGTTAGGACAGTTGTTAGCTAAAAGTGCAAGCTGACACAAAAATAACTGATATTCAACCAGCTCAGTAATTATTAACAAGCACTGTTTTTACTGGGTGGAGTCCAATAATAAGCAATGTAGTTAATGTATATTCTCATTGCTGTGACCCTAGTGCATTTTTATATTAACTGTTTCTGCTGAGCCGTGATTATTATTGGTATTTATATAGCGCCAGCATATTCTGTAGCACTTTACAATATTATTAGAGGGGGAGCTTTAACAATAAATGAGACAAATACAAAAAACTTACAGGAACAATAGGCTGAAGAGGACCTTGCCCAAATGAGCTTACAGTCTACAGTCATTGAATCATAGTGTGTAGAAGTTTCACCTTTTTTTTTAATGATCTTGTCTGTTTGTATTTTTAGCGGTATTGCTTCTAACAACCATTAATAATTAATTATTATTTTCTAAACTGTAGTTATGGTGCCTGGTGTGCCTCAGCACCCCCTAGTGTAAGTTGAACTGTTTGCTAATGTTGAGAGTGAAGAGTCTATTGGGCATGACACTGATACTTATAGTAGGCTTAAAGGACCACTATAGGCACCCATACCACTTCAGCTCAATGAAGTGGTCTGGGTGCCAGGTCCCTCAGGTTTTAACCCTGCAGCTGTAAACATAGCAGTTTCAGAGAAATTGAGTAATGCTTTCCTATGGGCAGGTTGAATGCGCGCGCGGCTCTAGCTGACGTCGGCAGGGGGAGGAGAGGTCACCAGCACTGAGGGAGCCCGGCGTTGGATTAAGGTAAGTGGATGAAGGGGTTTTAACCCCTTCTGTCCAGCAGGAGTGGGGCCGAGGGGGGGGAAGGGGACCTGATAACCCTACAGTACCAGGAAAGGTTTTTTTTTTTGTTTGTTTTTTTCTGGCAGTATTACAGTATTATATAGCGATATCACTAAAACAGTCTTACCTCCCAAATTACTTGTATCAGATGGAGATGGTGCTGAAGGGCCACTTGCATATTGCATTTTAAGTCTAAACATACCCTATGTCAAGTTCACTATTCCATTTCAATTCAGTCGATAGGGTAGGAAGGGTTACTTTTACTAAAAACAGTGTTTTTGTTTAAATATTTAATAGTCAACCAGTCCTCAGAAGTTTTGTTTCCAATTATCTATTCCTTCTGAACAACATTTCAGAACAAGAGCATTTGAGGAGTAATGAAGAAAACCATTCCTTTGATCTATTGAATAACCCTATGGCAAATGGTCTATATTTTGGGCTTTGAGCTTGTCAGAAAATGTACACATTTCTTGTGAGTAGGTTGTTCTAAATCACAAGATGTAAGAAAGGCAAAAAGTACAGATTGCACGTTTCAAGAAAACTGTGACAAGATTGTTTGCTAAATTAGCCACTAATATGCAGTGTATCGTAAAACTCTAGACAGTTACTGTTTATATAAGTCTGTAAGAATAATGCACAACCATATTATTTGTCCACTTTTCTCTTCGCAATGTTGTAGCATTGATTACTGTTCCTGGATCACTATATCTAGATGGCATTTGCACTAATCCCTTTCAGTAGAGAGATGAGTGGTGATGTAACTGTTTTTCCCTGTCTATAATGTTTTTTCATTTGTTGTTAACGGCTGTTAAATTAACATTCTGCAGGAAGATGATGATATAGAAGAAGGTGACCTCCCGGAACATAAGAGATCTCCTCCTCCTGTGGATTTCTCAAAGCTTGATCCCAGTAACCCAGAGAGCATTTTACAGATGACCAAGAAGGGCAAGACTATAATGGTCTTTGTGACTGTTTCTGGTAACCCCACTGAGAAGGAAACAGAGGAAATTACAAGCCTGTGGCAAGGCAGTCTTTTCAATGCTAACTATGACATTCAGAGGTACGAAGCTTCCATTAATTCAATACTTTATTCTACTTGGTTACTGTCATACGGGTGAAGCTTTATTTATTCTAATGCACACTAACATTACATGAATCCCTTAACCTTTCATTGATTTTTATCTGATGGCTGATTATGATTGACTAGCTACATATTGGTGTTCTTCCTAAATAAAGCATATCGGCATACTCTGTAACAGAAAGAGAGATTTCACTGTTTTTAATACAAGCTTTCACTTCATTACTGCATCTGCAGATTCCATGATGTTTAAAAGTGCTTCAACTCTCTGTTTCTTGAGTTTGAGTTGAGTGGTTTTCTTCAACATTTTGCCTGATCGCAAAAATAAAAAAAGTTATATGTTTCTTTCAAAAGGTAGCTCAAAGTAGCTACATTTTATAGTATACTTTCAGTTTTGCAATATTTGAAATTCACTTTTGAATTCGCATTTTAAAGAAACACTATAGGGTCAGGAACACAAACATGTATTCCTGACCCTATAGGGTTAAAGCCACCTTCTATCCCACCAGCCCTCCCTTGCCTTCATAAGTAAATATACTATAAAATCTTACTTGTATTCAAGTCTGCAGCCACTCCCCCTGCCCCTGATCTGCCTGCTTGGCTGAGATAATCAGAAGTGATTCTCTGAATCAATCACAATGCTTTCCAATAGAATTGGCTGAGACTGTCAAGGAGGCAGATCAGGGGCAGAGCCAGCACAAGTTAAACACAGCCATGGCAAATAAGCATCTTCTCTTAGAGATGAATTGAATCAATGCATCTCTATGAGGACAGTTCAGTGCCTCCATGCGGAGGGTGGAGACACTGAATGGCAGTGCTGCACACTGTGCAGCACTGCCTCAGGAAGCACCTCTTGTAGCCATCTGAGAGGTGGCCAGTGGAGTTATCACTAGGCTGTATTGTAACACTGCATTTCTCTCAAAAGACAGTGTTTACTGCAAAAAGCCTGAAGGGAATGATTCTACTCATGTTCTGGTAACTATATTGTCCCTTTAAGGAGTAATGCTTTCCTATGGGCGATTTGAATGCCTGCGCTGCTCTTGCCGCGCATGTGCATTCAGATATGACATCGGCAGGGGGTGGAGAGTTCCCCGGCGCTGGAGAAAGGGAAGTGGCCCAGTGGGAGGGTGGCCCGGAGGGTGGGGGGACCTAATGACCCTATAATGCCAGGAAAACGGGTTTGTTTTCCTGGCACTATAGTGCTTCTTTAAATACAATTTTGAAATCCACACCTCTTATTCTGCAACTGGGCATCTCCATTTTAGCCCCCTGTCCATCATTGTTTTAGCTCAGTACTTTGCTCCTGGTAGTCAACATAAAGGAAGCATACAGAAAATGAGGTAAATGAAACAATGTTTCTATTCTTTTTTCTTCATTTGCAGTTTTTGCCCTGAAATTGAGTCTAAATAGGATTATGATGTAATGTTCATTATCTTTTAAGGAAAGCTATAGTGTCAGGGAAACAAACTCACTCACTTAGGACTTCCCCCATAGGAAAGCATTATTCAGTGCTTTCCTATGGGCTTTTGGACAAAGCTGGACATCCTTCTGGATAGTGTCAGGTCGCCGAACATCCTAGAAGTCTCTCTAGTGGATGTCTGGTAAACACTAGAGGAGGAGTTAACCCTAGCAGGTAATTATTGCAGTTTAGCAAATACTGCAATAATTTTCCCCTCTGGGTTAAGGAACCTGGGGCAATGCACCCAGACCAAATCAATGAAGTGGTCTGGGTGCCTATAGTGCCCCTTTGATATAATGTTTTTTGTTTTGTTTTGTTTTTAAAAATGGAGCATCCCATGGAAAAACATCACAATTTACAGGTGTTAATCAATATTTTACTCAGTGGTGTAAATTTTGAAGAAGTGACAGTTCTCCTTTAAAGCATGTTTTTTGCACATGTTTGAAGATACAATTTTATCAAGGCACAAAATTCCCGCTCGCCAACCAGCCTTTGGCAAGTGAACATTCAGTGTGGTGAGTGAGCCATGGGCTCTCTCCAATCATGCAGTAGCAGGAAGTATTTTTTATTTTTTTATTATTCTTGTCTAGTAATATAGGACTTGAAAATTCGAGCCCTGCTTTTATTTTGTATCACACATACTCTTCATGTTAAAGTCATTACAGTCACATATAAGAAATGTTCACACGTGATGGTTTCCTATATGTACTTCTATATGCAAACTGAATGCATATCTTCTCTTGGATGTACCATTGCATATAATTTTATTTTGTATATTTTTATTTTGTATTTTTTTAATTTTTTTTTATTGATAAAATTCATTCCAATTCTCCTTTTATACACCCAGGTTTATTGTTGGTTCAAATCGTGCAATTTTCATGCTTCGGGATGGAGGCTATGCTTGGGAAATTAAGGACTTCCTTGTAAAACAAGAGAGATGTGCAGATGTGACTTTGGAAGGACAGGTGTACCCAGGCAAAGGAGCAGATGGATCTTCAAAAAGTAATAACCAGATTAAACCGGAGAAGAAAAAAAGTACCAAAACTCAAAAATCCAAGTCGTCTCATGAAACTAACAAGGCATCTTCACCAAAAGAAGATTTATGACAGCTGCTACCTAGTAGAAGAATCTAAATAAAACATAGAATAGTCCCATGACTGGATTTCCGTTCTAGCACATGGGTGCTTTCAATCAATCGGTTTACTTGTCACTAGGCTGTAACTGGTCTGTTTCACATGGAACATGTAATACTATGTATGTCTTTCTCCTAAGCACACCTTACTCCCTAGTGTTTTTTGTATGCCCGGGTTAACAGTGATTGCTAAACCTTAAATCCATTAAGGACAACTGTCATAAAAGTTTCAATTCACATTTTTTTTAAAAAAAGGTTATTACATCAAAAGGGTTACTTATAACTTAATAGAAAAAGAATGTCATATTGGGCTACAAATAAATTCTAAATTCACACTGCTTTCCACATGCCCCCAAAAATGCAGTGGATGGTATAGGGAGGGAGCGAACTGGGACACAAGCAGATTATGTCTGTTGTCAGTGTGCTGTGTGCTTTGACGAAAGACATAAAATTGACATTGTCATATGTGCCGGGGGTGTAACTAGTTCCTGGCACACACATGCAAATAACTTTTTTTTTTTTTTTTTTTTTTAAATCTAGGTAAGCTGCCATGCTGGGGCACTACTTTTATCTGACTGTCTGCTTCTCAACCTAACATGTCTGCTGCTGCAGTCTCACACAGAGCAGTAGAGTCTGACCCAACATGGCTGCTTGGTCAGATAAAGTGAAATTTTCTCAAAATTTTTTTAAAACTAAATACACAATTTAAATAAATATATATAATGTAACATTCATTAAATATAATCAATAAAACACAAGAAGTGACAATTTGATGACAGTTGTCCTTTATAGGTACACTAACATTGCATGCCTGAATCCTTGTGCATTAAATCAAGTCATACCAGGTTTACACAATATTCATTGGTTGAAAGCTGTCAGCTGACACTCTCAGACAATGAATACTGTTGAAATGTGGTATGAGTTGGTATGATAATGTAGAAGTGTGAATTTTTTTTAGCCTAGCACTTTAGACCTGAATAGTTTCAGGCACTTGACACAGCAAGGTAAGTAATCAAACTGTTCCTAACTGGATATGGCAGATTCTTGTCCGAGAGAGCCCTGGGACTCCTAGCACTAAACCACTACAGCCTGCTATAGTATTTGTAGTGCTTAGAGTTAGGGATCGACCAATATTACATTTCCAGAGCCAATACAGATTATCCTAAATTTACAAGACCAATACCACTTATCAGAAATATGCAGAATATCGGCTCTAATAATCGGCAGAATCGATAATTGGTCTAGCGTATCTCTAGTGTGGTGAGATGATCATTGGTATTATACGCAACAAAACCCAAGCAACAATATCCAAACTTTCCTTTAGGTTGCAGCCTTTGTAATTGTGGTATTATTCTTCCATGAAGAATACAACTGGTGATGGGTTCCCCTGTACCAATACCGTGTCTAATCGTTCTGGGTGGCTTTTTACATCTTGACTTAGTTTGTTAAATTATGTATTTTATTTTTGTTTTACCCACAAAGCAAAATGGTAAAGTGTTGACATCTTGATTTTAAATACATAAATATTACAAACATTGTTTGTACTACTGGTGCCGATATCTGCACACTGGAAACGATTAATAAGTCTTTATATAAAAAAATTATTTAACATAATGAAAGGACTTTTTTCTTAGGTTTACAGGAAACAGAGGGTAACTCATTCAAATATTAGTGTACATCTAAAAACTGGTCATCACAAATTTGATTGTTTGTAAAACATGTTCGTACTAATGTGATTGTAGTCTATTAACAAGGCCACCAATAACTTAGACGTAGGTATCTTGTTGGTACTGAAAACCTTCTCCCCCTAACAAAAAGAAGTGCCATGAAATATTTATGTATTTGTAGTTTGAAAATCATGCAATAACATCAGTCAGTTTACATATGGTACTGTTCCTCTTACCATTTCAGGTGCAAGAATTGCACCAACTCATCCTAAAAAAATCTATCTACAACTTGTGATTGTACAAGTGTTACTGGCTAATAATATTTTCTATAACTTTATTTGAGAAACTGTGTGTGTGTGTGGTTTTTTTTTTCTTCACATTTTAATGTTTGTTTTGTATAGTTTCATCAGAGCCTGTGATCTACTTGGCATTTAATTTGTTTAGGATAGTGGTTCTGAGTCTCGTTTGTTTGAAATAAACTTGTCATGTTCGATTTCAAGCAACAGCCCATACGTTGTCTAAAGTATAGATAATTGCCTTTCATGTTGCAATGGAGATGTCAAGCAGGTGCATTGCTAAATTTATTTTACTACAGTTATTTTATTACAGCTAAAGAATGGGTCACCCTGCTACTGCCATAAGTTGCCAGTTGAAAATAGTTATAACCCACTGGTTAAGAGTCTTGTGCCAGCAACAACTGTGCCAATTTACGTACTGGAGCCTTATTTTGAAGGATTATTTGGATAAATACATTTGAAAGCTAGTGTATGGGATTGAAGAGAAGGCTGCACAGTATTATATCAGTATTTCTATGTCTGTTATGCATTGTATCCCACTATTATTAAACACTATACACAGCTGTTAGGAATGCTGCCAAACACTTTCTTTCCTAAATAAAATTTTTTTGCTACTTTTTAACCAAAAATTGCTATGTTCTTATTCTCCGATAATTAGAAAATATTAGTAATAGTTTGCATGCTTGTTTCTAATTAATTTTGTGCTCCAATATATGCCTAGTTTACTTGGTGACAGTACAAGAGGAAGTCGAAGTAAATGGTTAACTGCATTGGTAAACACATAAACAGATTACTTTGAATTGTTAAACAGTGTGGAAATTGATATTGTTAGCTCCAGAGGATAAGCTTGTTGGTTTCCATGTCTCGACTTTTTGTTACAAAATTTGAGTATTTGTCATGCATTAAAATCAGCCACTATACAATTTGGTATCATTCTGTTCAGTATGTGTCCAGCTGTGCTGGCATGAGGCAGTCAATGGGAGCATGTTACCTGTTGACTTCTGGTGAGGGACAGTGACAACAGTAGAAGGTGGCCTCTGCACCTAAGGTAAGTTTTAATCTTTTATTTATTTTAACTTTAGGGAGGGGGCACCAAGCTAGGCATTGTTACTCCAACCAAAACCAGTGTTTTCTTAAACCCTTGTTTTTTTGTTGTTTTTTTTTTTGACTATCCCTTTGGATTAAGGTGGATCTAATTAATACATATTCTGAAATATAGTACCTGGTGTTTTGTACCTATATGATTATTTTGTTTTTGTAAGGACTCAGATGGTAATTTTCTCCAACTCATTCCGTTACCCTTCCCTGCTTTGTGTTTTGCAAATTAGTTACAATTTAACACAATCATGAATCTTTAATAAACAGTTTGACACCTGTATTTTAATATATACATAAAACACACATTACTAAAAATGGAGGAGTAATAATGTGAAAATAGAAACGTGGAATACCACTTACCAAGTGTTACCTCACAGAACACCCAAAAGACAAAGTGAAAAATATATAAGTTGAGGGATCCCACCCAAATAGAATCCCTCCACTTATAGGCTAACTGCCACTTAAATATATGTGACAAAAAAAATACAACCTGAGAGATATATATAATGATCTAGAAAATGATGTGTCTATAAAAGAGACAAACTAGACATAGTGTAATACTGTACACAAAACATATAATGAAGGAGGAACATTGTCTATTAGTGGTGGAAGTGTCTGCTAATGATCTGTGGAAACCAAAGTTAAAATATAAAACAACCAGTGTTATTTATTAAACTGGAAGCAAACACAGAAAAGAAAAGTAGCAATAGTACCTGGAAACCCCCTCAGTACATCCATACAAGGAGAATTATATTCTTAGAATGGTAGGCAGTGGACAAACGTACTGTACGATTTGTAACAAGAAAGGTGTGGCAGTGGCGTTAAAGAAAATAGTCCTAACGAACACTCCAAACACATACATCAGTTTGTGCTTTAGGTGTGGCGGGCCTTTTTTTTTTTTACCAAGTGACTTCATTAGACTTTGAATCTTTTTATAAATTAACCTCATGGTTTCCTGGCTTTTTAGAATCCAGTCCGATTACTTCAAGGTCTTGTGTACCAAAATATAGTTTCGGCGAATCACATCTCTGGGACTTCATTAAAACATTTAATGTTAAATAAAGTATATACTTTTTAATTTATACTTTTATGTACTACTTACTAGCCATCATAGTTCCTGCATTTCCCTAACCATACCAGGCTGGTTATAATGAGCCAATTTATAGGCTCCAGGCTTGTGAGTATTCTACTTTTTATATATTGTAATATTTCCTAAGTGATTGTCACGCTATTTTTGAATTTTTTTCTGAAATACCAGAACCTATCACCTAATATAAGGATACCAATTATCATGAATCAAGAAGAAAGGAGAAGGTCCACTAAACTGACCTATTGGCTTATACTTCCAGAGCTAGGTTATAGCTCTGGACCATGTGAGTGCCCCATTATTTTGTTCATTAGATATATATCTTAAAGGGTTCTGCACTTTGTTTCCCTGCTATTTTTATTTATCTTAAAGGTATACATACCATCAGATTACAAAAGATACAGGAGTAAGTGTTAAGTTAAAGTATTTTCTATCACACAGAGTGACCCACATATTCACAATCACCGTTAAACGTGAGTTTTTGGGAGAACTGCACATCACGGTGTGGAAGTAGCTGTATATACATGTTGTTTTATCACATGTAATTATTGATTTTAAAATAACACACTCAATAGGAATCTATCTTTAGTTCTCAATGCCTTTTGTGAGAGTCCATTTGAATCTCTTCAAGAGGTCCCACTAAAATTCTTATTGGTAACAGTTGACTTCTTAAATGCTATTATTTCACCTAGGAGGATTCATTCTTTATCGACTTCTGAAATATACACCATTTGCCATCAAGACAAAGTTATCCTGCAAATTTGCTTTTCACCCAAAAGTCTTAAGCAAAGATAACATTAACTAGACTAGACTATTGCACTGCCTTAATTTTGTGCAAATCCATCGCCTCCTAAGGAAGTCAAACTACTCTCCTTGGATGTTAAATGGACTGTTCAAACCTACATGAGCAGAACAGCTACCTTTCACAGATCAGACCATCTTCTTATCAACTTCAAAGGTCAAGCCACAATTGCCCATTGGATTAAGGAACCCATTAAGGGTTCATATGGAGCCCAGGGAATAATTCTACCAATGCAGGTCAATTCTCACTCTACTTGGGCAAGTAGATGCACAGAGAAAGCCACTATTGCCCATTGCATTAAGGAAACCATTTAGAGTTCCTATTAATAGTTCAACTAGATGGGCAGAGAAAGCACACACATCTCTAAGAGACTTCTGTAAAGCTGCAACATGCTCTTCCTTCCCATTTGTCAGGCTCTACCGGCTAGACATCCATTCCTCAGCTGATGCATCATTTGGGGTGAAAGGTGTTGCAGGCATTGGTGATATAACCCACCCTTATTGGATCTTAATAAATCACTTTGGGTACTGCTGCTAAAAGTAAGGAAAACAAGACATTTCTTTTTTTTCCCTTGGTATTCAGGTCAGAGGGGCTGAGACCTAATTTAAACATTTAATCTACAGGTTACAGTCCCCCTAGAGAAAGAACATTCCTTTTGGTACTGCCGCTAATAATAAGGAAAAAGTAATTTTGGTAAAAAGTAAAATTTCTTGTGACTGCAGAATAGAAGGTAATACGGGCAGTCACCGAAGCCGACTTACTCCCTCTTCCATGTCGAGGCTTGTAACATGGGTTTACATATATGATGAGTATACGGATTAAGGAGGACTTCCACATTTAAGCTGAACCTGGCCAGTGTGTCCCCTTACCCCTCAATGGTATATGGTGAGCAAGGAGTGAATAATAATATTTACTGCAGAGTTGAACAATAAAATACAGGTTTATACTCTGATTCCAATTTCCTACATCTCAAATGCTGTGTTTTCCCTCCTTTCATTTTTTTTTTTGTGTGCAAAATAATGGTTAAATCCATTCTAATGTTTCTGTTTAGTTTCTTGAAGGAATCTGGCAAAAATCACAAAACAAATGCCTGTTAAACTGCGGTTATCCAGCAGATGGCAGTATATAACTAGTGAAGGACCAATATTGTAAGAAAAATCTCTAATTAGTCCACTGAATTTAAAAACCTTTTCATCTCTGTGGATTTTCTTGCAGTATAAACAGGTGAAACAAACAAAACACTGTGTTGAAGTTAGTGGTTATCTTCCAGTGGAATTGGATTTCGCTACTTGGACCTCTAGGACAACACACTTTTTTCCCTCATGTGATTTACTAATAATAATTTTCGCTGAACATGTTTTTTAATTAATATTTCCTTTAGGATTAAGATATATTGCTATATATATATATATATATATATACACTGCTCAAAAAAATAAAGGGAACACAAAAATAAGACATCCTTGATCTGAATGAATTAAATATTCTTCTGAAATACTTTGTTCTTTACATAGTTGAATGTGCCGACAACAAAATCACACAAAAATAAAAAAATGGAAATCAAATTTTTCAACCCATGGAGCTCTGGGTTTGGAGTCACACTCAAAATTAAAGTGGAAAAACACACTACAGGCTGATCCAACTTTGATGTAATGTCCTTAAAACAAGTCAAAATGAGGCTCAGTAGTGTATGTGGCCTCCATGTGCCTGTATGACCTCCCTAAAATGCCTGTGCATTCTCCTGATGAGGTGGCGGATGGTCTCCTGAGGGATCTCCTCCCAGACCTGGACTAAAGCATCTGCCAACTCCTGGACAGTCTGTGGTGCAACGTGACGTTGGTGGATGGAGCGAGACATGATGTCCCAGATGTGCTCAATTGGATTCAGGTCTGGGGAACGGACGGGCCAGTCCATAGCATCAATGCCTTCATCTTGCAGGAACTGCTGACACACTCCAGCCACATGTCTTGCATTAGGAGGAACTCAGGGCCAACTGCACCAGCATATGGTCTCACAAGGGGTCTGAGGATCTCATCTCGGTACCTAATGGCAATCAGGCTACCTCTGGCGAGCACATGGAGGGCTGTGCGGCCCCCCCAAAGAAATGCCACCCCACACCATTACTGACCCACTGCCAAACCGGTCATGCTGGAGGTTGTTGTAGGCAGCAGAACATTCTCCATAGCGTCTCCAGGCTCTGTCACGTCTGTCACATGTGCTCAGTGTGAACCTGCTTTCATCTGTGAAGAGCACAGGGCATCAGTGGTGAATTTGCCAATCTTAGTGTTCTCTGGCAAATGCCAAACGTCCTGCACGGTTTTGGGCTGTAAGCACAACCCCCACATGTGGACGTCGGGCCCTCATACCACCCTCATGGAGTCTGTTTCTGACCATTTGAGCAGACACGTACATTTGTGGCCTGCTGGTGGTCATTTTGCAGGGCTCTGGCAGTGCTCCTCCTGTTCCTCATTGCACAAAGGCGGAGGTAGCGGTCCTGCTGCTGGGTTGTTGCCCTCCTATGGCCTCCTCCACGTCTCCTGATGTACTGGCCTGTCTCCTGGTAGCGCCTCCATGCTCTGGACACTACGCTGACAGACGCAGCAAACCTTCTTGCCACAGCTCGCATTTATGTGCCATCCTGGATGAGCTGCACTACCTGAGCCACTTGTGTGGGTTGTAGACTCCGTTTCATGCTACCACTAGAGTGAAAGCACCGCCAGCATTCAAAAGTGACCAAAACATCAGCCAGGAAGCATAGGAACTGAGAAGTGGTCTGTGGTCACCACCTGCAGAACCACTCCTTTATTGAGGGTGTCTTGCTAATTGCCTATAATTTCCACCTGTTTTCTATCCGATTTGCACAACAGCATGATGTGATTTAAATCCCAGCAATGCTTATTTTTTTAATGTAAGCATGATTTTGAATTTAGAGGTGTGTTTGTGTATTGCATTTTCATGCACTGTTTCCATTCGAAAGCAATGGTTTCCTTGTGTGTACTGTTTACCTTTGAATGTCTGTATGTAGTATTTACATTTGAATGCAGGGGCAAATTTGCTTGTAGTGTTGGCGTTTGAATTCTGAGATATATGCAGAGATACACATACTGACACCCACGCAAATACACAGACACACACTAACACATATAGACCCATATATATGTTATTAGGTGTGTGTCCCCCGACTCCTCAGGGTCCCCCTCCCGCTGGGCTGAAGGGGTTAAAACCTCTTCAGCCACTTACCTTAATCCAGCGCTTGGCTCCCTCGAACTCAATGCTTTCCTATGGACATCAGCGTGTCCTCAATGCGATTTTCGCATTGAGGATTGTAGAAACGGCCTCTAGTGACTGTCAGGGAGACAGCCACCAGAGGCTGGAT